GGGGTCAACCCTCAGCCTGTGACTTTAGGAGACCAGGAAGCACAGTTTGATTAACAGTGCTAAACTACAGCAGCGATCACCAACTATATTTGTTGGAGACACCTTGGTGCCGGACACTGAAATAAAATTGAATAAAAATCACATTTTCTCCAACATTATTATTTGATGTTTGTGTTTGAATCCAGTCATGGACCAGACTGGACGTTTCAGCGGGCTGGATTTAGCCCTGCAGACCGCCAGTTGATTATCCCTGGACTGCAGCACCAAATAATCATGATTCATCTACAGCTAACCTGTGATTAATCATCTTTAACTCCTTGGATAATTTTTTTTCCATTTGTTCTCTTCCTGGATTCTCTAAAAACCAAGTGAGTTTCTAATTGCTCCTTTCCAAAGGCTTCAGGAAGGAGGAGGTGATGAAGGTGGTGGTTACTGGGGTGTAGAGGAGGAGGTGTAATTACTGCTCTGAAATGCTTTTAAAAAGCAGCGGCTCCGGCTCCGGCTCTGGCAGGCAGCTGTGGGGGCCACCGTGCTGCCCCGTCGTTCACTCCAGCGATGGCTGATGGAACATCATGCTCAGACCTCGGGCCACCGTTTCTCACCGCTACTTAATTATCCCTATTAATTACAATGAATGTGCAGGTGTTCTGTGGGAGGCAGGGGGTTGTGGGTTCTAATCTTAATCAGCTTCTCAGGCTGCTGCTGTGTCTCTGGTTCAGGTTATAGGTTTTCAGCCCCAGGTGCTGAGAACTATTGAGTGGTTAATAAAAAAGAGGAGACAGAGACTGAGCTACGGGAAGATTTCAAGGGTTTTTTGCACAAGAAACTGTAAATGTTTGGACTTTAATCAATGCAATGACCTACATTTAAATTGAACATCAAAGAAACATTACAGTTTTATGGGAAAAAACAAGTCCCTGGAACTGGAACTATTATTTCTGACTATTAAAAAGTGCAGATTGACACTGAAACAGCGACTGCTTCAGTACTTCACATCCCCCACAGGGACTCGCCCCCCACTTTGGGAACCACTGGCTGAATTACACATACATACGTCTACTACACTTCATCCTCACCCAAACTTTTTTCTGACTTCTCTCCGAATCACAACTTCAAACAGATTCAGTCGGGACAGGCAAGATGTCCCCGCAAGGACAAGGTGTCCCCGCAAGGACAAGGTGTCCCCAGAGCAACTGTATTTTCACATAAAACGTCCCCTCAAGTATAGCTTTACCAGGACTAGACACACACACACACTTGTCACTTCGTGTGATGATTCTGTTTCAACACTATCCCTCAATCTGGTACCTTAGAACCAGGGAGGTGAGAGTTGAGAATTGAGGCCTGACATCAGCAGCAACAGCAGCAGCAGCAGCAGCAGCAGCAGCAGCAACAGCAGGGACACGGTACCTATTCTGAGCTGACACCGTTGTTCTGCTGTTTCTCTGCTGTTTCTCTGCTGTTTCTCTGCTGTTTCTCTGCTGTTTCTCTGCTGTTTCTCTTCTGTCTGACTTGGCAGGAAGTTGACGCTGGTCCAAACCCACTCAGCTCCTCCTCCCTCTAATCCTATCCCGTGTCAGACATGTTTGTAAAGGCTTTGGACCCCATGTTCCACATGGAAAGTCCGCCCGAGTCAGGCAGGATTACATGCTGCTAAAAGGAGTGAGCGGTCAGCACAGGCAGATGACAGATCAACTGGGTGAAGAACATGTGCTTCCTGTCGTCAGTCATTCCTCAGGAATGTAACTTCCTGTCACTATAAACCATTGAAGAAAATCAATTCTCACAGTGTTCACACTCATTAATGCACTGGTTCGATTGTTGTGAATCATTCGTTTAGACTCCTGAGTCATTTTCTCTGGCTCTCCTCCAGCTGACCTTTGATGACCTCAGCACCCCCCCCCGGGTACAACTGACATCTGTGAAATAATAATAAATCCCAGGCCTTTGATCTCTGCCACTCATTAAAGCACGGCCTGCATTCTGTAGCTCAACAGTGATGTGAACCAGTGATGCGAGCGTCCATGGTACCATACCAGCAGTGCTTGGACATACTGTGATAATGCAGTACTTTTTAGATGGTACTGGTCAAATGTAAATTACAGTTGAACCAGCGTTGAAACACCAGGAGAGTCTGAGGGAATGGGCAGGGACTACAAAGACATTTCAAACCATCATTTGGTTCAGTTCACTTTTGAAAGTGGACCAAACCGCCTGGACAGCAGCTGCTCCTTTTGAGGTGGAAAAGAATCGGTGACCAGGACTGAAAACAGAAACCGATCCACAGCACCAGCAACAACCGGTTGCTGTTACCTGTTTTTTTTTTTTTTTTTTAACCTTTAATTGGCTGCACTTGACGCCACTTCCTCTCTTTGGTTCACTAAATGGTCCGTTTGCATTTACCTCGACCACAGTGCACTTGTTTGGTGTTCAACAAAGTTCGTTGCCTAGGCAGCCTGAACAAAGTGGACTATCCAAGGAAATGAACCCCAGACCGCTTCAAGAGGACCAAACGTTTCTGGACTCTTGTGGAGGAAGGTGCAGGGAATAAAGGAGTGGTAGTTTTAACAATGAATTCACAGCCTCGAAAATGTGCTTATAATTGTTGTATGAACAAAGGAATAGGCCGACTGTGTGTGTTCATAGCTTTAGTGTCCACAGTTATCAGTCCATTTGTTGAGGTGTGGGTCTGAGGTGTTCTTCAAGTGCCGGTCCGATTCTGTATTTTTAATAAAACACCTCAAAGGACCTCCTTTAGATTCATGCAACCCTGAGCTCTATTACAAAATATATTCATCACGAAGAAAAAAGAAAAATCGTATTTCCTGAGAGAAAAATTCGTACAAACGGCAACATCTTCAAATGTGAAGAAAGAACTCTTTGTCCCGCAGGCCGGTCTTTGAACAACCTTGAATCTGTAAATGCCAGGGTTTTAATGCCTTTGTGTTCATTTTTAAAGCCAGAACTTCTCCTCTAATTCAAAGGGTCTCGGCGGGTTTCCCGACATGCAGTCTAAATGCGACGCCCCGGCAGAGCAGAGCTTCGTTTCTGCAGCTCTAGCGTCCTGACCACGAGTCTCTGCAGAAGAGGCGAGACAGGAAGCGAGATTCTAACCTAATCACGACTCTGTAGCCGTGGGGCTTTGACTGCGACTTGAGAGCGAAGAAATTGGCAACGGTGGAAAAGTTAGTGTGTTGTTTGGTGTGTGTGTGTGTGTAGAAGTGTGTAGAAGTGTGCACGCATGTTTGGATAAAGTATTAGCCACGGTCATGGGAGCTGATTCTGTAGCCTCTGACCACAACATCTGCACCTATTTTTAATCTATTTTTGCTATAGGAAAAAAATTATATTACAAAATAATGAAGAGGGCGTGGACGACAATCTATTTTTGCTATAGGAAAAAAATTAAATTACAAAATAATGATGAAGTGGGCGTGGACGACTGAAGTAGAGAAGATAAATGAGTTTGTGAAGCAGTTATAGTTCAGAAGACGGAACAGGAAGTAGAACTGTGAGCTGCTAAACATGGACTAAACTCTGCATATACATTTGCATATATATTTACCGATATTATCGGCTCAATATTAGCATAATTATGTAATATCAGTAAGAATCGTAATTGGTTTTTCCTCTGATAATGGAAATCCGGTAACACATTGCCTGGGTTTTGCTAAATTTGCTGAAATCGCAGTTGCATATATCGGTATTGGTTGATATCTGAATCGAAAATTAAGAATTTGGACAATATTGGCCTATCAGATATCGGCAAAAAATGAATATCGGACATTCCTAATTTCTATAAATGTTCATCTGTTCAGTGAGGCTCAGGTATTCCAGGAAAGGAGTAAAAACTTGGAGAATATACACAAGAAGGAACGCGAGAAGGAAAGACCGAGTCTGAAGGTGAAGATTTGCAAAATCCTTGTTTTCTCTCTCCTTCAGAGAGTTGTCACAGAAAGAACAAAGACCAATCGACCTTCCGTCTGAAACAGAGGAGCTAGAACAACAAATGTCTCGTACCTGTGCACTTCTTGGGGCTCCCTGGTCGTTTCCCGTGCATCCCCAGCTTACAGCCAAAGTTCTCCTCCCAGAATTCAGCAAACCAGACGTTTCTGCGGTTGTTGGACAAAGAGCGGCTCTTGAAGTAACGGTCGAAAGCTGCAAACAGAACAAACGCACATTATAAAGAATACGGAGTCTGGTTTAGTCCAGATAAGGATTGAGCTCCGCTTCCTCACCGTCCACGGAGGTTCTCTTGGGGAGGATGGTGACGGCGCCTTCAGCCACGTGCTCCTGTTGGACCACCGGAGAGATCTTTGAGCCCCAGCTGTCCGACCCCACCCAGAGGAAGTGGCCTGTTAGGTTGTTGCGTTTTGCCGCATCTAGGACTCGCCTGACAGCAAAGGAAAGAGAGCGGCCATCTTTATTTTATTTATTTTTTATCAGGGTTTAAACAACCTGGAACCTGGAAGAACTTACACTTCAGGAAAAAAGTGTTCGTTTCACTTTAGCACATCAATAAGGTGAGACATCCTGGTGCATCAGACCAGACTCGATGAGCGCAGAAAATGTATTAATTATGTTCACAATTAATCATTATTATCATATTTTCCAGACTATAAGTTGCGCTTCTTTCGTCTTTGGGCTGGGTTTGCGACTTATACTCAGGTGCGACTTATATATTAAAATATATAATTTCACATGTCTTTATGTTTACACTGACAGCCACTAGGGGGCACTCTAGGCACTGATCACTGAATGACTTTTTACCTGATGTCATCCTCGTTGGCAAACATGATCACAGCTCTGGCGTTGGGTGTCTCAACCAGGCGGAGAACGATCTTGTCGAACTCACCGGGCCTCGGTTCTCGAGGAATCTTAAGAGACTGTGCGATGCAGACGCCACCTGGGGGAGAAGGATGAAGAAAAGAGGGTGAGATGATTGGTTTAACCCTGATCCTCACCCAAAGCCTCGGAAAACCAGTGTCTCCCAACTGTTTTTGTGCTGTGGCACATATTTGTCTTTAGGAAAATTCCACAGCACACAAGTTGATGTAATAAAATATAATAATCTTTGAGTTTAAATGACCTCATAATGGACTCAAATCTAAGCCTGTTTAGTTGAAAAGAACGCTGATATACTGGCAGGAATTGAAGAAAGACACTCACAAAGATCTTTTCACCTGGTGGAAGGGTATTGAATTGTTCTGCATATCACGCATTGACAAACAAAGAAAATAATTTTCCACGGCCCACCTAATGATCTCTCACGGCACACCAGTGGGCCACGGCCCAGAGGTTGGGAATTATTCCATTATCTGTCAGTGAGTTAGGAACTCATCTGTTGGTTAAATGGACTTTGTTGTTTAATTCTGTCTGCGTTCCCATGTTTTCATTAGCTGCTGTGTTCGGCTTGTTTTTATCTTCCCTCTGCCGCTGTGACGCCTCGCCGCGGAGATCATTAAACTTTCATCGGCGTCCCTCAAACAAAGGTCAGGAGGTTTATTAACGATGCCACAGATTAAGCACTGTCAGATTATCACCTACACCTAAAAAAAAAAAAGTAGAATGGGGGAGAGCGGGGGTGAGGGTTCTAGTTCTTGGTAAAGAGAGGCCATGAAAATCAAAGACAAAATCATGACAACATCTTTGTGGGAGAGGAAGGAAAACTCAGACTTAGAGACTTCTGAAATGATGCATCATGACACAGAAGTCATCAGGATAAAAATGGTGGGTGGATTTCAGGGCGGAAATGTTACAGAATATTAATTTTAGTTCAGACTGGCAATGAGGCGTGAGTCGAGGAGAATTCTAAGCTGCACTATTTTCCTCCACCGACATCCGGACCTAACGTGAACCAGAGTCACTGCAGGGGGGGCCACGAGGGGCACGACACGCAGACGGACACAGGTGGAGGTTCACAGGAAGTGAAGATGAAGAGAAGTGAGAGGAGAGGAAAACCAAAAAAAAAAAACTGATGAAAAAGGATGTGATCGAGAGGAGACTAAGAGAGAGCCTCCGATAATGAAAACCCGATAACGCAATGCCTGGGTTTCGCCAAATATGTGTGGCCTAAAAATAATTTTGGGGAAAAACGGCTGTATATGAAAGTGAAGGTCACTAGATGGCAGCATTGCTGCTCATTTAATTAATCTATTCTAATAATCGGGGGATTGGATGCAGAATGTTGGTTCCAGCAACTCATACAGTGGTTTGTACAGATAAATAAATAAATATTAACAGACTTTTATCAGTATCGGTTGATATCGAAATCGAAAATTAAGTGTTTGGACGATATCGATATCCCTAATGATAATGGATTTGTTTTCTTACAGATTTTCATTTTCAATCTCCTGTCTTCTGTAGCACTAGCTACTAGCTCTGCGCTGCCCTCGTGTTCTTGGCTTCATCGTTTAACTGTTACTCTCAGCAGTGAAAAAAAAAAAAAAAAGTGTGAGTGATTCTGTCCCTGCAGTCCCGTCCCTGGGAGAGCGCGGTGTCTGGAGGAAATCTGAAAACGTAAGATGACACAGAGACTGCCATAAAAATCAGAGGCTAAGCTTTTCCTGCCTAATTGGTCGTGAAGTGTTATTTTTATTTCTTCCCTAACGCCAAAAGACAGAACAAGTCCCCGTCTGACTGTCGAGAGAAGCCTTGAGGGAAAAAAGTCTCGCAGCTGAAAATAACCGAGTCCACTTGCTCAGACCAGAACTGTATGAGCTGCAGTGTCTGAAATGTTTAAAAAAAAAGGCTACGAGGATTTAAAACGACTGCAGCAAATGGATAAAAACACTCCTTACTGATGTTAATTTTCACATCGCCAGAGAATTCGATTTTTGTTTAATTCTTCAGGCAAAGTGAGATAAAACATGTTGTGGAATTTTCATTTTTTAGGCAAACTCCAAATATATAATAACAGGATACATTCAAGATATATGTGTGTCATATGTTGGGGGCTGTAACTGCATGGATGTCAATATATAAGAAGACAATAAATGGCAGAAACACAGGTGGCGCTGCGTCTCTCCCGCGGACGACTGTGACTGTGGAGAAGTTTAAAAAAAAACAGCCGTCGACGTGAACTGACATGTTAACAACTGTGTGGAAACAACGACACTAAATCAGGTCCTCGGGCGTCTCCTTCTCCATTTGTGTTCTCTAAATTAACTTTAGGAGAACAATATACAACGGAGACGCACACAAATGTGATATTGTGGGGGAATAAATCCCCGTTTCCTGGGAAACAGAACGGGAAATCCCTGCAGTTTTCAAACAGTTTTCAGTCGTCACGTCCACTGGTGCTGATAGCTGCTCCGCACAACCGCAGCCAGTGATTGGCTAAAAAGACGACACAAAATAAATAAAACAAACACCAGCCAAAGGATGAATAAATAATGCAATGTATAGTTCAGAAAGTAGGGTCCTTGACAAGGATTAGTTGAAGGGTTTAAAGGTCATAGGTCGCCCTGCTTGAAAGTTGCGTCGGTGTCGATTTGTTGACAATTAATACGAGAAATATGACCAGATCAGAATCTCACAGAAGGTTCAGCCAGTTTGACTGGATTTTTAAATGGAAAATCCCATCATAACGATCCGAGGTAAATCTGAATCATGATCCAGAAAATTACCAAAATAAAAAAACAGACAAAACGTCACTACTCCCTCGGTTCAGGACATTATGTTAGCCACAATCGTACTGCTTAATATTCTGTGTGTGAACTAAATGATATTTACTGATTATTTTAAAAAAAGGAGCCTACGGGAGGCAAATATGAAATTCTCCCGCTGCTCATTTACACCAGTCAAAGAAAATGACTAAATGATTAGTTTCCAAATCCCAAACCGGAGCCTGGGCGTCACATCTTTCCAACGTGTCCAAGGCATTAACGAGAGAAAGTTTGCTGGCAAAGTTTTCTTTCACCCATTAAAATTCAATTTTCCAACCCGTCTCAGCTTCACCCCGAAAAATTTTAATGAGCTCATTTAGAGCATCATTATATGACAAATGGAGCAGATGAGGAGGTGAGGAGAACGGCAGCGGTCCGTACGTCTCCTGGCTGCGGTCCTGTCAGACAACCTGCTCCGACATCTGTGTGCAGCTGCTGCCTCACCGCACAAACCCACGCAAATCACACTGTGGCTGATTCTTCAACAGTTATCAAACACTTCATTGGTGGGACATTAAACACAATTAAATAAAAAAAAAATTATGAATAAGAATAACTCTGAAAGTTGCATTATTGCAATGATACATTTATATTATCTAGCGTCTGCTCAGCTCAAGACGTCACACCGTCACTTCCATCATGAATACAGATTAACTACCAGTTTAATCAGACTATGATTGGACTGTGTGGCTATATTTACACCAATAAAAATGGTAACAAGTTATTTTTCATTTTTCTTTATTTGAATTATGGCTGGAATTTAAAACACATTCATTTCCTTTTATTAATACTTGACAATTAAATATGTCCATTTCTGTGGTTAAAATTCAGAAAAAAAAAGTACTTTTCTGGTACGCCAACTTCTGATCACAGTAAAATACTATACCAATAAGTTCCTGAACAAATCTCTGAAAATAACTTTATCAAAACTGAGGCGGTATTGATGACCAGGCATCGATACGTTGAGTGACGTCAGTGCACATGAAGTTAGCGACGAGACTGTATATTTCTTAGCCCAATTACTAACAACAATTTTAATTATTTATGTATTTGTTTTACTTCCATTATTGTTCTGTTATTACAGAAGTTGACAATAGAGTTTAGCAGAAGAATTCTACCAGCAAAGGTATTTCTTAGCCCAATTACTAACAACAATTTTAATTATTTATGTATTTGTTTTACTTCCATTATTGTTCTGTTATTACAGAAGTTATTACAGAAGTTTAGCAGAAGAATTCTACCAGCAAAGAAGGACCATCATATTGAGACACTTTGACTCCCTGCATCTACAACAACACACTTTATTAACATTGTTTTAAAAATGGGTAAAAATTGACAGCGATGATGACTGAAAAGAATTGGCAGAGGCAGCGAGAAGGGAGATTAAATAAACCTTTTCCTATTTATACTTCAGAACGTCCTCCGATGAAAAAGGGAAGGAAATCCTGGCTATGAAATATTCATGTCCTCCAAATACAGACATGCAAATCAGGGAGAAGTCTCCGACCACGAGAACGGTGACACGCTGGTTTATTTGATGAGAGAGAGAGAGAGAAAAGAAGTTTAAGAGATAAAGGAGCAGCCAAGAAAAAGATAAGACACAATGAAGATTTGAAAATGTGAGAGAAGAAGAACGAAGGAAGGAAGGAAGGAAGGGAAATAATCTCCGGCGGGAAGAAGAAAAAAAAAAGACAGACTAAAGTTTTTATTCTCCAGTGAGTGATTTGACAGAATGTCATTATTTTTAGCATCACTGAATCTGCAGCACACACACACACACACACACACAATACAATCCCTCCCAGCTCAATCCAACCTTAACTATGACAAAGATATGGCTAATCTTAATCCTTAGCCTAAATCTAATCTGACTAATTCTAATCCTGACCTCAAACTAAATCTTGAACAAAAAAATACTGTTACGACATCAGATACTCTCTCTCCCTCTCTCTCTCTATACTTATATATGTATATACATACACACATATACATATATACACACATAGATACATATATAAATATATATATGTATATACATACACACATATGTAAATATATATTTATATTTACAGCTGACTGTATAAAGTATTGCCAGTAAACTGAGGGGTTCTCAAACTAAGGGGAACATTTCACTGATGGTCACACACATGTCTGTGTGTGTGTCTGTGTGTGTGTGTAAACACAGCAGCAGCAGCAGCAGCATCAGCAGCAGCATCAGCATCACTGCTCCTACAGTGGAGCCACAGCTGTTCTTTTGTGCAGTGTCTTGTTATTAAAGCTCCTGATCTGAGACACCAGTTCTTCATCATAATGACTGATGATGATGATGATGATGATGATGCTGCTGTTACTGCTGCTGTTACTGCTGCTGCTGCTGC